GGCTTGGCATCATGGCCTGGGGCGGGTGGGTGGGTAGGTGGTAATAAGTTTCAGCTATAGCAGATTTTCTGTGTGTGCTGAGGCAGCAGCTTCTCTCCTCTGTGGATACATTCAGCTTGAATGAGACCCCTTCCGGAATTGTGGTGCTGGTATAGGATGCCTGTTTCTGAATGATGAACCTCAGTCCCCACAGAGCCTGTCTGTGGTGGGATATGACTCTTCATTCAGGGAGGGAAGGGTTAATGTAAGAAAAAGCCCAAGAATGCTGACTTCCCAGGAGATCATCTGACACTGCCCCAAGGTGAGCTAGAAGCATACTCTTTCCCCACAGGAGACCATCTGACATGCTCTTTCTCCCTGCGGGAGAAGACCATCTGACACTGCCCTGAGGTGAGTTAGAAATATGCTTCTTCCCCAGTCAGGAAGGCTTCTGGGACTGAGTTATCTCCCCTTAACCCATAGGCCACTCTTGAGACAGATGACCAGTTACTGTCTGGAGTCTTTCCTTACTTAAGGTCAGTTCTCAGATAGATAGTGATAAGGGTGTCATGAGCTCATTGTCAGTCATATGCAAGGACCTGGGCCTCCCCCATGGGGTTGTAGAGAAGGCTCTGCAAGTGCTGAGGGGTAGCCTTGCCAGCCTGCAGTTCCCCAGGAACCAGAAGGCAGCAGCACTGGGCAATGGTTGTATTGATATTTCAAGTGACCTCTTCCGGGCAATGGTAGTAGCAGTCCTCTGTCTTTTGGAGCTGTCTCCTACTAACAAGGCTATCATCTGTGCTGAGGTGCTATAGGATCTGAAGCCCACGTAGAGCCTTCTAGGCTCTCATAGAAATGGATTATGAGCAGGACACTGAGACAGCTGCTCTTTGGTTGCTGTGCCTGTTGTTGTTGTATACTGGAAATGCAAGTGTCTCTGGTTGTGTTATCTGTATCTCTGTAGGCATACCCAGAAAAGATCTCACAGAACTCATGACAATCCATGTTCTGTTTCCTACTCCTGAATTCCCAGTGCCTGGCCTAGCATTGAGCCCACCTAAACATGGCATGGGTTCTGAGCTCCTACTCAGAAGCCTTAGTACCTGGCTTGTCGCTCTTGCTGTTCTCTTTCATTTTGCGAACTCTACTGGCTTTGTTTTAAGCTTCATTTGAAGTTCACACTACCAAAGTAAGTAATCCTGATGTCAAACATATACACAACTAATATTGGAGAAGACTATTTTTTTTATTGACAGTCTTATAATGTTCCCAACTCTAGATTTGAACTCCTAGACTCAATTCCTACTTCATGTACAGAGTAGATGGAACCACAGACAAATGCCTCCATAATGGCTGGAGACAGCCTTCTCCCTGATACTCTCTGGGAGAGAATGAGCGATCTTATTGGTAACCAGGCCTGGCTCACTCATTACTGAATATTTTATAGCTAAGCCCATGAAGTGCCAACAAAGCACAAGGTGTCTGTGTGGTGAAAAGCTGTTGGGATGCCAGATTGGCAGCTGCTCCCTAATGTGACTGAAAGTGCTCAAGGCCACAAGCAGCAACCTGAAGTTGGGTTTCTTCAGGCCCTGAGGACAATATCTTCCTGTATCTCTTTAGTTTCTTTGAAGGAAAAGTCAGTTAGAATGGATAAAATTATCATTTTGAAGAGTTTATGTTATAGCACTGAAGTTTGAACTCAAGTCTGTGCTGATTAGGCAGGTCCTCCAACACTTGAGCCATGCCCCTATCCCAGTTTTCTTTCGTTACTCACCAGATAGGATCTCAGTTTTGGTGATCTATGCCAGGATCTCCTACGTATATGTCTTATGTAGTTGTGGTAACAAGCACACACCACCAGCTGATTTGAGATAGGTTCTCCCTAACCCTTTCCCCAGGCTGATTCAAGGTCTATTTCTCCTAATAGAGGCCTCTCAAGTAGATAGGATTAGATGAGCTTCCATGCATCCCTATGGGAGTTGTTTTTAAGCACCTGCTCTTGGAAGGGTTAGATGGGCTAGGTGAAGGCTTGGTAGATGATCATAGCAATGCTATGGTTGTAAATCTTAATGTTATTACAGTTAGGCATGTTGGGACACTAGCTCAAACTTATAGAAAGAAGCTGAGCTGGACCCTGGATACAGCTAGTACAGATGAGGTGATTGGTCTGTGGTCTGTGGTCTGTGACTTTCTGTAATGTGCAACGGAATTTACCAGACCAGAGCATCACAGGTGGACAAGGTGCAGTCCCAAGAGTGATAAGGACCTTGGAAGTGAACCCAAACTCACACCAAGGTTTGAGGATATGGATCTGATTAGGCTGAGGGAAGGTTGGACATGTGCCTTCATGGAAACTATGGATTCAAGGCCACTTCCCCTAGTGGCAGGACCATTGAAAGAGAGAATGAAGGTGGCTACTGCTGTTGAAAAAATAAAATGGATTCTGTGGACAGTACTGGAAAGTGGGCCTACAATTCCATGTCTAGTAACTGGGTGCATGTCGCTTTTGGTCGCTCCTTGTGGAGTTCTTTCCACGTATGGCATTCTCCAGACTGAGGATGTAAGCCCAGCAGAGCCCAGCAGACTCCTGCTACAGCCTAGGTCAGTTTCTCCCTCCCTTGGTGAGCCACAAACTCTGCTGGTTTCTCACTCTGCCTGGGAAGATGTGGCCCATTTGTCCTGACTGCAGGCAGCAGCCAGCCCTAGGCAACAATCACAGTAAATTGTCTCCTCCCGTGCACTGGAGTGCTTTGAACTGCCTGCCTGGTGTGGTTCTCAGTCCTCATTAACCCTGCAGGTTAATGTGTGAGATGGGTAGTGAGTGTGGGTAGTGAGATGGGTAGTGAGTGTTCTTTGGCATTTTCATGGAAAGATGCTCCTTACGGAGAGGAAGGCAAGCTCACATCTCTTCTAACTGAATAAACGCATCACCAGGGCTGATGAGTGAGTACAGACTTCCAAATCTTTTAAACATTTGTATGTCTTAAAGAGTCCTAAATCATGAGGCCTGAGTGGTGCCCAGTCTCAGGCCTCATCTTCTTATCATTGCTGGGTCAGTTTGGGCCTCTGGAATAGCACCATTTAAAGAGGGTTCTCTTCGGCAGGACACCTGGCCATAATCCAGGCAACTTGCCCTTGGCTCATTGAACTCAGCCAGTGCCAGGCCTTGTTCTGAATAAGAGAAGTGGCAAAATTTAGAATAGGCAAAATTATGATTTGGAATAGTTTATTTTATAGTACTGAAATTTGAACTCTGTTTGCCATCTTTCCAGCTGTAGATGAAGTCTATCTGATCTTAGTATAAGAATATTCTAGGGGCTGGGAAGGTGGCTCAGTGGTAGAGTGCTTGCCTTGTGTCCCTGAGGCCCTGGGTTTGATTCCTCAGCACTACATAAGCAAAAAGAAAAAAAAAAAGCCGGGCGGGGAGGATTGAGTGGGGGTGGGGTGCGGGAGAGGATGGGAAGGGATGGGAAGGGGAAACCAAGGAGGAGACTACAAAGCTTGATAAGAAATGTACTCATTATCTTGCCCATGTAATTGTAACCCCTCTGTACAGTATTTTCACAATAAAAAAAAAGCCGGAAGTGGCGCTGTGGCTCAAGTGATAGAGTGCTAGCCTTGAGCTGAAGAGCTGAGGGACAGCACCCAGGGCCAGAGTTCAGGCCCCACGACCTGACCCCGCCCCCCCCCCCCCCAAAAAAAAAGAATGTTCTAGATCTATTTTGAGACCTTTTTTGGAAAATAGTTCCACTTCGTTCACAGGTCATTCCTACCCCAGTCTTGGCATTGAGTCAACTTCCTTGCTGCCCTCAAGGTATCAGCAAGGGTTAGATGACTCTGATCATGGGTGTAGGACTGTGTAGGTGAATGCGTACTGTTACCTTTCTCAACTTCACGCTCTTCTAAGCCAATTGGAAAGAGATGCAACACTGAGACCAGGAGGCACCTCACCTATGGTAGCATTTCCTGCTTGGAGGAGCCACACTATTTATTGTGGGCCAGCAGACCACAATTTGTGAATTCATCCTGCAGAATTCCAAGTCAGGTACCATCGCCGAGGGATCTGGGTTGCCAGGACTGGTATGCTCTGGTAAGCATACCAGGGAGACAAGAATGGGATAATTTTCTGTTTTCTGAGTATGAGACTGGGGTTCCTGTGATTACAATATTGGGGGACTTGGGGTAGTTAACACAGCTCACTTCCTCCACCCTCTCTGCTACCTCAAGTTCACATGTGTGCTCCTAAGGACAGAGCTCTCTGCCAGGGCCATGTCCCTCTTTCTTCCCACCTTCTTCAGCATCAGCAGCAGTGCTGGGTCAGACTTCTGGGGTCCTCAAAGTTATGAACTTAGGATCTTCATTTGTTCCCCATATTTGTGACTCCTTGTGCGGAAGTCTAGAAGAATGTCTACCTTCATGGTCTGCAGGGAGGATAGGGTGGGTAACAAGATCAGGTAAGATGACTGGTTACAGTTCATCAACGTTACATTCGATGTTGAATTTGCCACCGTTTTCTAGAGGGTCATTTGACTATTTGGAAACTAGAAACAAGTGGGAAATCTGTCTGCTAGCATGGCAAAGGTTGCAGAGAAATTGCATTGGGGTAAGGAGAACCCTGGTGCTCTCAGCTGGAAAAGGCTTAGGCCTTCCAGGGAGAGATGTAGCCCCAGCATTGCTCACTCCAGTCCAAGGCAGATGGAGGGTTGTATTGTTATTTCATTTTTAATGTCTTGGTGTTGCTACTAATAGGATGTGGGACATTTTGTTTTGAATGTGAAGAAGTAGCAGAGGTATGCTTCATAGCAGATTTCTGAGTAGTACCAACTTCTCAGGAGGCTGAGGCTAAAGGGTTTCCTAAGGCTGAGAGTTTGAGGACAGCTTGGCAGAGTTTCAAGGTGCTTACCTGATACTAAGGACCAAGGTGAAGTTCCTGGAGGTTCTTCAGACTGGTAGTTTCCAGTGAATTGGTTGAGGTGACACACATATAGCATGTTCAGAACTCTGTGGTCTTCAGCAGGAAGATGGCACCTGGCATCCCCACTGATCAGTGTTCCTTCTCCTGCCAGGAGTAAGTTGAAACTCAGCCTTCCAGGAGCAGGTGGTTCTTCTCATAGCACGGCCACGATCTAGTGACTGTATTCCCAGGAAGAGCCTTGTATTGGCTCAGGCAACCTTCACACTGGGTCTTGTTTATAACCCCTGGTTAAACTGGTCTTATTTTGTAGTTGGACTGTGTATTTCCAAGAAAACTGCTAGTGATGGAAGCATCTTGCTAAACAGTAGCATTTTTGGTTTTGAAACTTTAAAAGAAATTCCCACTTGAGCCTGGACCTATCCTGACTTGCTGTACTATAATACCTACATAATGCAGAGGGGTTCTACTTGCCTGTGCAGCTGGGCTAGGTCAGGGGTGGCAGGGCAGGAGGCTGCCAGCCTGGAGAAGAAGGTGGTATGATAAATAGCATCATCTCCTTCCACCACAGGCACGTGCAACACACCAGGAGTCCTGTACAATGTGCAACTAATACCCTGGAAAAGGTTGGAGCCTCTGTTTCCAAGGAAAATGCCCTATGGGTCCTTGGGACACAGTGCTGGGTGTCATGGGTGGAGAAGGGGGCCTGTGCACAGGCAGAAAGGTCGTGGGCTGCAGGATGCAGGCAGCACCTAGTCTGGTGTCTAGTCCGGCTCTCATACTTGTTTGCTCTTTACAGAGCTTGAGCACATCCTGACAATACTTGGGGCCTGGAAGTAGGCCGCTGTGTGGTGTTTTTTTTTTTTAACTCCATCAGCTCAAGGAAAAGGCATGTGCCTGCCATGTTGTGGGTTACCTTTTAGGGAAAAACCGGCTGGAGGCTAAGCCCATTTTGTACACACCCTGCAGGGGCGTTGGAAAGATTGAGCCAGACAGTATGATAATGACACCTACCCTGTCAGAAAGGATGAAATAGAGGTGGGGGACTTAGAGACACACTTAGCACATGATAACTCATTTCCCTCTCTGGTAGCAGGAGCCAGATGAAAGCTACACAGCAAGGAATAGGAGGTGGCCTGAAGTAATCAGGATGTAGGGGAGTATGGGGGCAGAACCAGAAGCTATGTGTAGCTAAGACCTGTCAGGATACATGAGAAAGAGAATAAAGTAAGGGCCATGAGAGTTCTCATCAGAGAAAGTTCAGCTTGAGAAGTCACAGTAGGTGCTTAGTACATGTGAACCCCTGGATTCAACCCCTGGTACTGCAACTATAAAGAAAGAAAGAGGAAAAAGAACATAATTCTCATTGATATGGAAGAGTACCAAGAATATTCCCTTGTAAAGGTATATGAACATGTATGCATGTAATTCAACCAGAAGAACAATTCATTAGGTCAAAACTTAACCAAGGACATGCTGGCAGGGATGACTACAGAGTGGGTCTAAAGTACAGTAGAAAGCACCAGGCCTTTCACAATTTGGGGTGTTTTTTTTTAGTGGTCGTGGGAGGTAGTTAAGGTGTTTCTGTATAGCCTAGGCTGCCCTTGAACTCATGATCTTCCTACCTCAGCTTCTCAAGAGGGAAGGCTAGGAACCATGCCCAGTTAGAGAATTTTTAATCTGATATCAAATACAAGATAACGTAATCGCAGAAGTTTTAAATCCTAAGAAAGGAAAAGTAGTTGCTTTTCAAATACAAAAATAGAACAACAAAACCTGCTGAAATTATCTTGAAAAGAGTTTGAAGCGACGAAGAGTAATGACATGGGCTGAGGGATTGATTGGGATACATGGGTGAATATAAATATATGTGAAACTGTCATAATCAAATGCATGTGAACAACTAATGTAAAATGATTATATGTGCTAGGCAAGCGCTCCACCTTTTGATAAAAGTATCTAGCCCTTTTGATTTTTATTTGTCTTTGACACCACACAAGTATGCTGCTTTGACTGGTCTTAGGGTTTTCAGGATGAAGGGTATAAGGAGCTTGTAGGCATTATTATATTGAAACAAAGTCAGAAAGGGTTAGAGGTGACATCGACACAATACCTCATTCTGAGAAGACTGTGATACTATTTCTGACTGGTATATCTATTTCTGCTTTCCCTCTTTGCCCTTGTACTTGGCTGTGGAAATGGTACAGGGAAGAAGGCTGCTTTGAGATATTGTTCCACAACTGTTTCCCTAAAGCAGTGCTGGGGGCTCATGCCTAGATCATCGCTCCTCAGGCAGCGAGCTGGAGAGTCTTGGTTCAAAGCAAGTCTGGGGAAAAATGTCCACGAGACTCCATTTCCAATTCAGCAGCTAAAGCTGGGCTGGGGCATAACTTCAGTGGAAAACCACTGGCCTAGCAAACAAGCCAGAGTCAGAGGCCATGCATTTTCAAGCCTTGGTACAATCAAAAAAGAAAAGAAAAGAAAACACGTTCCCTTAGATCTGTGGGACGGTGACAGGAGCCATAAGGAGAAAGACATTGAGAGCACCCTGCCTCCCGCCAACACAGCTTCTTCCTTCACATTTGCTCCCTGCATTCACTGGGGGCCTTGTGTAACCTCTTACCCTCCTTTTATATCTTCATCCCTCATGTTCTCTCAGTTTCCCCCTCCGTCCCCCACCAAGTTATATGGTTCATTTTAAACACCGTTTCTGGTGAGTATCACTTCTGCATTTATTCACCCTTTGTCCCACCACTTCTGTGCTCTCCCTAAGCCTCCCCCAAACAGATAGGACAAAAGGTACAGAAATAAAAAATTGTAACAAAGGGAAGGAAAACAAGAAGAAGAGAGAAAAAAGAAACATAACAAAAAACCCTCTTGCTTCCACTTCTTGGAGTTCATTTCAGTAAACATCATTTTTATAGGATCATATTCATATAGCTATTGAGCACTTGTGATCCTCTCCTAAGAATATCCTCCTTTGATCTCAATGTGAATGTCTGGCATCCTGTATAATTTATCATGTCCAAGGTACATTTCATCTTTGCAGCTCTCTACTCTCTCTGGCCATTTTCCTTTGATGGCCATTACAGGACGTGGAAAATTTAGGTCTTTGGGGAAATAAACTCTGGTTCTGTGTCCTTCCTGTATGTCTGGTTACCCACCATCCATGGAAGCCAGGTAGGAAGGAAGCCCATCAGTGAAGAGCAGCCTGCATCCCTGCAGCCTGAATCAGGCCCACCACTGAGTCTGACACTTATGCCAGGTGGAGGTGGGAGAAGGTACTGGAGTCTTGTGGCTACAGCATTGTCCTGTGTCTTTGGGCAACTACCCTCCAGGAGCCCCTGCCCTACAACTTCTACTCCACAGCAGATGGACTTGGGCAAAAGAAGTGGCAGAGGAGAGATGAGGAGACACTGAGAAGTAGGGGCAGCATGTGGCCACCGAGTCTGATGGGTAACCTTGCTTTTCCCTCTTCCAATGGTGTGTCTGCAGGCTGTAAGAAAGCAGTGGTGGATGTTGACACCCAGAAGGTGAGGGTGGCCAGATCTCAGCTCGCAACCCTGAGCTGTGAACATCATCTCACCTAAAGCAGCACCGTCAGGATGCACAGCCTCTTTGGAGGGCTTGTGACAGCCCTTGTGATGACGTTTGGGACAGTGACAGCATATGGGCCAATACCACGCATCAACTGGAATCTTGAAGGTGAGGGACAGGACTATGTAGATTCCAGTGTTGTTGCTGTGATGCCGGGATGCTGGGATGGATGGCTGAGTTCCCAGCCCTTGACCTGTTGTGTACTCACTGGGGTCTTCGTGTGATCAGGTGGTCTACGCAGTACTTTGGTAATGGGAAATGTAGTACACAGGGCTTGCTCAGGAATTGGGGAACCCTGAAGGGAAGCCTCCTACTGAGAACCCTGTCATGTCCAAAATGATATCCTCCAAGGCAAGTGTCTGCTCCACATACCCGGAGAGAATGGAGAGGCAAGGACAGCTCCTCAGACGGACACAAAGCTGAACTATTGACCATGATCATTTGTTCCTGCTTATTGATCTCAACTGTGATTATTTCTTCTCCTAGGGCCTGTTTTGGCCCCCAGGTCTCTGGCTCAGGGAATGGAGAACTTCCATACTGAATGCTGAATAATGTCCTCGACATGTCTGGGCTGATATTTTTCAGAGCTAGAACTTGTGTCTGGAGTGCACTTAGCCTTAGCGCAGTGAGCCTTGTCATGTTTTTTCCTGTTCTGTGTTGTTTTGAGTTGTCTTAAGTTATTGGGTATCTACCATGTGCTGGGCAATTTGAAGGGTACTGGGAATTTCAGAAAATACTATTCATGCTTTCCAGGGCTTAATAAGAAAAATTGTAGGACAAATGATGGAGCTACAGTGAGATAACAGCTGTTGAAATTAGTCACAGCTTTGGAAAAGAGACGCCGGAGGTTGGGCTCCCAGCCTCAAATGAATGTGACACAGTCATAAGCGGTAGTGCAGGCAGAGGGAACATCATGGGGGAGAAGTAATGTGCTACAAGGAACTGAAGACAATTCCCGAACCCTTGATTCCAACTAGATAGACACGTATCACAAATGCGTGAAAGACAACCTAGAATTAACACTAGTACAGACAGATTAAATGACTCGTGTGTGTGTGTGTGTGTGTGTGTGTGTGTGTGTGTGTGTATGTGTGTGTGTGTGTGTGTCTGGAGCTTGAACTCAAGGCCTCACACTTTCACTTGCCTTTTTTCCGCTCAAGAGTGGCTCTGTACCGCTTGAGCCACAACTCCACTTCTGGCTTTTTGCTGATTAGCTAGAGATAAGAGTCTCAGGGACTCTTTTGCCCAGCCTGGCTTTTAATTGGGATTCTCAGATCTCATCCTCCTGAGTAGCTAGGATTACAGGCATGAACAACAAGTTCCTAGCTAAACAACTTCTTTAAAAATACTGCTTAGTTGGGTATGGTGGTGCACACCTGTAATCCTAGCTCTCAGGAGGCTGAGGTGAGATGTTCAGGCTAGACTGAGTCATGTACAATCCTTTTGAGTCACAGGCATGAATGTAGTTATCTCAGAATTGGGACTTTATCTCATTTTTTAAAAAACTTCTAAATCACTGTATTTTTTTTTCCCTAGACCTAATCTATAGATAGTGAAAGACACATAGCTGAGGTAGGAAATGTCAGGTGAAGATATCTGGCCTGTGTTTCCCTGAGAAGCCACTGAATAGGGGGCTTGAACTTTGTAGGGGAAAAAAAAGAAAGGTGCACCACAGACTCATGTCACACACACACTCACACACACACACACACACACACACACACACACACACACACACTGCAGAGATTCGCTGTGAGCTGACCATTGACAGGCAGGTGATGGCACTATTGCAAGTCAACCATGGAGACTTTCCAGTCTCCTCTGTGGCAGCAACACATCTGGGCACAGCCTTCCATCACAGTCACTGAATGGACTGTCCAGGCTCAACATGTCTATACTCTGTCTTTCCTTCCTGCTTCTGATCCTTCTTCTCTCCCACAGAGGTAGATCTGATGGAGTTTCATGAACCAGGCATCTTCAACTACTCAGTTTTGCTGCTCAGTGAAGACCAGAACACACTGTACGTGGGGGCCCGGGAGGCCATCTTTGCAGTGAACGTATTCAACATTTCTCAGAAGCAGAATGAGGTGGGTCCTGAGCCTCACTCCCCTAGCTCTGTGCAGCCTGCTGAAGCAGGTAGCCTTTCTCATTCTCAGAACATCATTCCTCTCCTGTCATTTTGCAACATCATTTCGGGTATCCACCAAAGGTCACCAGTCTCCCTCCATTTTCATCTTTTCCTTTAACCCTATGGATGAATTTTCACCGTGCCCATCTTCTATCTGTGTAGCTTCCACAGACCAGACTTCATTCCCATCTGGCATATTTCCTGCCACTGATGGCACTGAGGAAAATTCCAGTTCCACACTCATCTGTGCAGTTCTTTAAAAACAAAATTGTTATCTTTAAGTAGATAAACAAAGGGTTTTCAATTCAACATGTCCATTTATGAGTACAGTGCATCGTGATCAGTGTCACCCCTCCACCACCATCCCCAATCTAAAGGGACCCCACCCAGCCCCTCAAGTTACCTAATTCCATCTTCACACATGATTTTTGAGTATTATGTCTATATTTGCTCACCATTTCTTTCTCTATTTGTCCACTTCCCTCTCCTTAAACCCCCAACCCTCTCAGACAAAAAAAAAAAAAATAGTTTCAGCTTTCTGGTATTCATTTGCTTAAACTGTCAGTTAATTGCTCAAAGTAGTAACACCACTGGAATCCACCTCTGCACATGCAGTTCTCTTGTCAGTTTGATTGTGTGTGTGGTTGTGTGTGTATACATATACATATATATGTATATATGCTTATGGCCCTGTATATGTTTTCATACACATTGATAATTTAGAGCTAATTTTGACATACAAGAGAAAACAACAAGCTTTGTCTCTGAGCCTGACACTTCACATATTTTTTTACAGGTCCATCTATTTCCCTGAAAATACCATAATATCATCCTTCCTGATAGATGAATATATATATATATATATATATATATGTATATATATATATATATATATATATATTGCACACATGTTCATGAATCTATATATGTATCACATTTTCTTCACCTACTTGTCCTTACAGGGCAAGTTTCTATAACTTCACTATGGTAAATATTACACAACAAACATGTTTGTGCAAGTGTCTTTTTATTTATTTATATTGCATTGTCTTTTAGTTGTACAAAGGAGGTGCCTTTTAACGAAGCAGTTCATGAATATAATGCATCTTGATCATTCTCACCCATCTCCCCAACCCACCTTGTCTCTTACACTTCTTAATTTTTTTAGTATCTACATTGCATTCTTGGCTGCATTTCCACTCTTCATTCATCTTCTGTAAGTTACTTTATAGCATCTTGACTTGTTTTGAAAAATGTTCAAGAAGGTTCTCACTGAATCATAACATAGTTCTATTTTTATTTTTTTGAGGAATCTCCATAGTAGTTGCACTATCTTCCATAGTGATTGCACTAATTTACGTTCTTACCAACAGTGTAAAAGATCCCTTTTTCCCTCACATCTTTACCAACGTTTGTTGTTGTTTGTATTCTTGATGATGGCCATTCTTACTGAAGATGAACTCTCAATGTGGTTTTGAATTGCACTTCCCTTTTGGTCAGAGATGTTGGACATTTCTTCTTTTGTTTATTGACTTCTTTTTTACTTCTTCTAAAATATTTCTCTTTAAATATTTTCACTTCTTCTAAAAAGTCTCTATTTAGCTCTTTTACCCATTCATTAATTGGGTTACTGATTGAGGGTTTATTTTTTGAGCTCCTTGTATATTCTGGTTATTAGGCCTTTGTCAGACATATAGCTGGCAAAGATTGTCTCCCAATCTGTACATTGTCTTCTTAGCTTGATAACTATATCCTTCACTATGCAGAAACGTTTTCCTTAATGCAATCCCATTAGTCAACTATTGCAATCAAATTTCACCAAATTGCTCAATAATACTTTTGTTTATTCAGAGATATGACTAAATCCAGGGGAAGTCAGTGATAGATCCATTCTATCCATCTCTGTTCCTCAGGTCAGCTTCAGCTTCCTTATTGTGAAAGCCACTCTGTACTCTGGTTTGTGTCCAAGCCTTGATATTACTTCTTGTATCCTTACACTAGAAGAAGCAGACCTCTGGCATTTCTTATCTTCCTCTAGGGATGGCTTGGGACCAGAACTTTCCCTGATAAGGGGCCAGAAAAGTCAGGCACTTTCTGCAGACAGATTCTTCTCTTCTGAGCCACTGTGACATGTGAACATCAAATGCAGGCTTGAATTTGTTTTCCAGTTTTCAGAATAAGGAGTTCAGGACTTAGTTCCATCCAGAGGGCAAGAGAGAGGTTTTGATGGTTTGATGGTTTAATGTTGTTGTTTTTTTTAAATCACAGAGACTTTTAACATTTTGATTTCACCTCATGCTGACCAAGTCTATTTTCTTTGATTTGTGTAGTTCTGGGGGTGGAACCACACCTCATGTGTGTTGGGCTACACCCCCAATCCTGGGTCTTTCTTTGATGCTCAGTGACAATCATTGACCAGAGGCAGGCCTTGGGTTGGCTCCTGGGACCTAGTAGCCTTAGGATCATTTCTTTCCTCTCTGAGTGAGGCTGGTCCAGGCTGATATTGAGTGTCTTCTGTCCCCAATTGTTATGTCTCTGTTCTGTCTTTGTCTCCAGAGTATTCCTTATTCTCATTTTCTGGTTAACAGACACATCATTGAGTTTCTGGCCTTACCCTTTGGAAATAGTATGTATCTCACAAGTCACCAAGCACAGGGTGTGGTAGGCTCAATTCTCACTCAGCTACTCTTCTGTCTGAGTTGGGTTTTCCTTTTCACCAGGGGCAGGGCCCTGTCTGGCCCAAGGAAATTGATACAGGGCTAGTTGTGGATTTTGCCCTGACCTTGGGGACTGCACACAGGTGGATGAAGAATTCAGCTGCCCTTTCTATCCTTGAGAGAAACTGACAGTTACGTAGAACCTTGTTCAAGTTAGATGTCTGTGGTGGTGACATCACCTTGTGGGGATTATTTGCCACAGAGACATTTGTAGGAACCCACCGTTAGTTTGGAAAAATCCCTCGCCTAGGCTCTCCTCTTGCAAGTGTTTCCTGACTGTAAATCTCCACAACTGTGTGGCCAGATTGTTACGTCTTCTCATTTTTGGGGGACTCCTGTGTGAGTCTCTAAGTGGCCAGATTGTTACATCTTCTCATTTTGGGGGACCACACAAAGAAGAGACTGATGGTCATTCCAGGTAGGTAAAGACAGGAGCCTAGGGATCTCTTCCATGTTGAGCTGTTCCCTTTCTGTCCTGTGATGGCCTTGGAATGTGGGCCCCACCTCAACAGCTCCTGTATGGAAAATCTTCTGAAGAATAGCACTGAGTGACAGTGCTGTGAACACTGTCACTGTCCGCTGCTGCCAGCACATGTAGAGAATCAGAATTGCTCTGTCCTCTGAAGGAGACAACTACAGGGCTCACATTTTAAACTGGTGTCAAAGCCGCCTTTTAATTAGCATGTCTTAATTATAGGAATTAATATTTTCATATCCATAAAATGTATTCTGCCCAGACCTAGGAATTTTGATCCAACCACACCCTTCCTAACTACTGCAATTCTAGGTTGATTATCGCTAGCTTCTACATATGAGAGAGAACATGCAGTCCTTGTCCTTGTATGTCTGGATTTTTCACTGAACATGATCTAGTTCCGTGCATTTTGCTGAAAGTGACTGGCATTCATTCTCTGTTGTGGATGAATCATACTTCATTGTGTAGCTATATGAGGATTTCATCCATTCATCTACTGGTGGGCACCAAGGCCATTTCCAAATCTTAGTTTTCATGAATAGTGCTGCATATAGTCTGTTAAAGAGGATGAAATAACCACTTCAAAGTTTACGTTTTTTGACAAAAGCAATTTTTTTTTCCACTTTGAACATTTGAATTTCTGCTCTGCTTTCATAGTGAACCAAAGGCTGTGATTCTCAGAATGTTCAGAAAAGCCCTATATGGCTTTCCAACCCTCTTTCCAATCTGAAGGATTTCCCCCCCCCCCCGGGCCCCCCCCCCAGTTTAGCAACTTCTGGGATCTGAACTCTTGTGTGGTTTTGAAGCTGGGCATTTTAACCCCATTTTTAATTTATTATTCATTCTTTCTAACAGGTATACTGGAAGGTCTCACAAGGCAACCGAACAGAGTGCTTAAAAAAAGACCCATCAAAAGAAGTAAGTGCTTTTGCCTATTACAAAGCCCCACACATATGTCTTGGTTGTTGAATCCTATGAGTGCTGCATCTTCTGCATGCAGCTGGGCATGGTGTGTGGTTGAATGGTCCTGACGGGCTCTGTTAGACAATGACAGCTCATTCCTTCTGCTCCTGCACAGATAAGGTAGGAACTTAGGAAATATGCTCTACTTCATATAATTTTAGATTTATTTCTGTCTGAGAATCTGACTGTGGAAAATGGTTTCAAATGACCATTGACCCATGGTGTAAAATTTAAGATGCCTGGTCTTCCCTGAAGCCTGACATCTGGGGCCATAGTGAAGACTTGAGGATTCTGAGTAGAAGCCCATCCCTTAAGCACCTTGGCATAACCATCCAGGGAGCCCTGAGAGAGTGTCCCTTCCCTCCATAGCACTGCGTTATCCTTACCCACGGAGCCACTGTTGTCTCTGCCTGGTGCCAGGCAGACATCCGTGTTCCCAGACTGTGAGAGTTCAGTTGACCCGGATCATTGCTTGTGACAGCTGAAGTACAGCAAATTTCACCAAGTGTCAACTAATTGCAAAGCAGATTCTTTTTAACCCCAAGGGTTTTCTTTTCAACTATCTTTTCTTTCTTTCTTTTTCCAGTCCTGGGGCTTGAACTCTGGGTCTAAACTCCTTTTGCTCAAGTCTAGCACTCTACCACTTGAGCCACAACTCTACTTCTGGCTTTTTCTGTGACTAATTGGAGATAAGAGTCTCCCAGACTTTCCTGCCTGGGCTGGTGTTGATCCACAATCCTTACATCTCAGCCACCTGAGGAGCTAAGATTACGGGGATGAGCAACCAGCACCTGTCTCCTTTAACTTCCTTAGAGAAATGCTAAACACTTTTTCTCAGGCATTAAACCTAGTGTTCCCTGAAGAAGGGAGAGGACAGCAGACACTGCAGGAATCTTACACAGCGCAGGCTCTTTAGAGAGAAATGAAATTTATTGAAGAGGTGCCCAGTGTGTGGAGGACAGACAATGATAGGGAGCCCCACCTTCCTTGCCCCGTGGAGTGGAGCTCATTATAAATTCCATCCCACCAGTTTGGAAACAGTCACAGCCAAAAGAATCTTTCTTACTTTGAGACAATTTCAGACTGGAGAAAATAGGATCCAAGTTGTGTTCTCCTTAATATACTATGTGTGCTCCTGAATGGCATCTTTGTTTTCCTGCGTGGGCCTCTATGAGGAAGAGCTGAGCACAGCTGCTCTCAACCCAATCTCTCCCCGCCTGTGTTCTGGGCCCCCAACAATGCTGTTTCCAGCTCTGTGTATGGGAATGAAGCTTGGGATTCGCTGAGCAGCAGAGGCCTTCTATGATAAGCCACTATGATAGGTTTAGTAACCAAAGAAATGTTTTGTGTATTTAATGAATGAGAGTGAAATACATTTTTCCCTACAATGGTTTCTCTAGAACAATTTTGAGGTCAACTCATTCCTTTCTTGGGTCTCCAGGTCTTTGCCAAGCGTCAGAGACTGAAGTGAAATTGTGCCAGCTTAAAGTCTAGGCAGAGTGGCTGTGGTATCAGACCCTGCTCTCTAAGAGCAGGCTATCATGTGATTAAGTCAGAAGGGAAGGCAGGACAGTAAAAAGTGGGCGTTAGGTGAGGACATAGAGTGTGTGTCTATAGCTGGCTATTGATGGTGTTTCTCTCCCCACAGGCAGAATGCTTCAACTTTATCCGGGTACTGCAGCCCCTCAATGCCAACTTGCTCTATGTGTGTGGAACCAATGCATACCGGCCCATTTGTGACCACCTGGTAAGTCCACAGGTACTTCGCTATTAGTTGTGAGTGTTTAAGTGTGGTGAAATGGTCAGTGTTTACTCGGAGTGAAGCCATGGGAAAACACAAAGCAAACTTCATCATAAAAGCACTATCATTGTCTCAAACCAGCAGTTTGAGGGCTGGAACAGCTCAAGACCCCTCTCTGGAAAGACTCACCAAGCCATGAGAGAGCAGTGCAGGCCATGTGCTCCTCTGAGCCTTACTGTCCTTAGCCAAGAATGTGACTTGAGTCTAGATCAGGGCATAGGCGGTCCTGGAAATTTTAGAAGAACATTCTAGAAAGTGGACTGCTGACAGGCCCCCATGTGCTTTGAAGAAAGGCCCTGCTCCTTTGTGGTGTGTGTCCTTGCCCAGCGCATTGGTGGGGCTTGGGTTGTCACCGCATGGTGTCAACTTTCATGGGATCTTGTCCACTGAGTGCCAGTGCTAGGACCACATGCCCTGAATGTGTTGAGCAGAGCATTTACTGTCCTTCCTCGAGTCACGACATCTTGTACATCCTGTGGTGTGGGAGCAGTGTCTTCTCACCTCCACATTCATTACCCGTCATTTCAATTTGTCTCACTTTTCCAATTGAGAATTTTCACTTTTTTTTTTTGGTACTTGAGCAGTTCCATCTTATTCTATGTACATCTTAGAATTTCCTGTGTATATAAAGAGATTATACCAAGGTTGAATTATTGGACTATACTTTCTTTCAATGTGGCTTGAGTTTGCCAAGAACATGGATCCATCTGGCATATGTTTTCATGGGTGAAAGGAAGGAGAGATTCTGCTTCTTGTTTTCATTTCTACTTGCTGATCCTGATTGACTAGATCCTGGCATTCTCCATGTGTTTTTGGTAGCTAAATTCTGCACACAGACTCTGGTCACTGGCTGAGCATGTCCTGCATTTGGTTCTCCCTGGCTTCCTAACAGCCTTAAAGCTACCAGTGGCTAGGTCTACATTTTCCAGATGAGGAGACTGCTATCTTGGGTAGCTGAGTTAGGGCCTGAGGCACTGGTGCACACACTGAGCTGAATGACATACAGCTCAGGTCTGAAAGCTGGCCTTATGTGGTCCAGCGCCCATTTATTTCCTCCACCTTATTGGTCTTCCAGGAACAGTGAATCTATAAGGTTAAATGGAACAAAGATACCCTGTTATAATGGAAAATCAGATATTTGTGAAGCCTTTTCTCTTTATTCCATTGTAGAACTTAGCATTCTTTAAGTTTCTGGGAATAAATGAAAATGGCAGAGGAAAGTGTCCTTACAGCCCTACCTATAGCTCTACATCTGTCATGCTTGGTGAGTTCCACTACTAAGGCTCCTTCGCTCCCAAAGGTGATGGCTACATGTTTTCTCCTGCATGGGATTCTTGGCTTCCATATCTTCCTCAGTCTTTCTTCCCTGGCCTCTGGTTAACATCAGTTGCCCATGCAGAAAGTGGTAGGTCCCTCGGTACAGACGCTTTAAGAGTTTTGAATTCATTGTTTAAAGAGCTAATCAATCACTACCATGGTAGTACACAACTCTCTAGCCTTCTTTGGTATACATTGTGTGTGTGTGTGTGTGTGTGTGTGTGTGTGTGTGTGTATTCCTTTTTGCAAGGGAGGAGAGCTATGGAGCTCCATGCTGTCTGCTGTGGTCTCAGACATCTTCAGTGAGCAGGCTGTGTACATTGTATGCACCCAGTCCTATGCCTAACTTATATCTATTTACAGTTTTTAACTTTATGGTGATATGACATGCCCCATACATACATAAGTCTTCATTTTCAAAGCAATGTTCAGTGAAACGCATCAGATACTTAGTACATTCTTACAAAACAAGCTTTGGGTAAGGAAATTCTGTCTCTTTGCAGACTGATATAAGTGTTCTAAGTATACTTACAGGGAAGAGATGAACTATTAAAGAGGAGCTTATTACATGCATTTCAGGTTAGAATGTTTTCAACTTAGGAAGGTGTTTTTTTATCAAATGTAGCCTGTGATAAATTGAGGAACATCTGTGTTTGCTGTCATTTTAGTAGATGTGGAAGTTCTCACTTGTGTTTTCTTATTACCTTTTAAATTGGAAAATGCAGCTCATGGTGGCTCCTGATTCTATCCCCATCAAAGAAAAGACATAGATGTAGACAGCTGTGTCAGCATTCAGAAATTGGGAAATGTCTCTTTTCTTTGAGGGGGTGAGAGTACCTAATTCAGTTGTGAAAGAAGCACGTTTGGTACCACAGTAGAAAGACTAATCGGATCCCTTTCCTTCCTTCCTCTACTTCTGGGCTGCTATAGATGGACAGATTTATGCAGGGACAGCAACTGATTATTTTGGAAAACTGCAGGTTATCTCTCGATATTCTCACATACATCCTGTGCGGACAGAATATGACACCAATTTGTTATACGGTAAGACACAATGAATCTAACACAGCAGTGTGCACCAGGTCTATCCTTGGAGGGTCCTGAGCTTTAGTCAGCCCGCAAGCAGTGGGACAACTGGAACCCTTCAGTATCCCAGCTCTAGTGAGGGATAGGAATGAGTCCTGCATGGGATTCTTTGCCCTTAGTGTACTGTTTGAAGACTGCCATTATCTCCCACCCTGAGAAGAGAGAGTCTGTAAGCCTAAGTTGTAAAACTAAGACCGCTCACCTCAAGAGTGCAGTGTCATTTTGACATGAAATTAAAGATGAAGCCTTTGGGTCAAGCTTCCACATCCTGGTCAAATGGGATCAGGGTGCCTTGATGCCCCCAAGTAGTACTTGGTAAATGTCTGACTTTGGTGAGTGGGTGGTAGGAGGCTGCTGAGTTCTTGGATGTGTAGGGGAGTGCAGGTGGAAAGTGGGTGGCTAAAGGACTTTGGGCCTTCAAAGCCTCTTGGTCTCCAGGAAGAGTTTAGCATGCAGGAACCCTGAGCTCATCTCCTAGAGGGCCACTTGGTAGCTGGGGCTACCAAACAACATACAGTCTTGTCTACCAGCTGGTTTCTATCGGGCATGGGTGATGGTCTTGCAGGGCCATGACCTGGATCACCTCTCTAAGGCTGAGGAGAATGAGACAAGATTGAGCAGGCTCAGCACTGTCATCATTCCCAACACTAGCATTTGGAATATAGCACACACAGTCCAGGCATCCTTGCAGGAAGGTTCCCAGCCTCTATGGCTGCACTAACTACCAATATGGGGAAACAGGCAGTGACACATCTCTGTGTACAAAGACAGCCCTGTGTCACCTCTCCGCAGAACCTAACTTCGTCTTTGCTGATGTGATTCGAAAAAGCCTGGATGGTCCCGAGACTGACAATGACAAGGTCTACTTCTTCTTCACCGAAGTGTCTGTGGAATATGACTTCTTTTACAAGTTAACGATCCCCCGAGTTGCAAGAGTGTGCAAGGTGAGTGCTGTGCTACTGGCCCAGGGCTTCTCGTCCTGTGAAAGCAGGCCTGGGAATATACCTTTTCCTGCCATCCAAATCTCTTTCTGTCACAGCAGCCATCATCGAGGGGCCTGGAAAATGCTATTCTTTTGTTGTCAGGAGCCCCTCAGTAGTCCATGGATACTGAGAAGATGATGGCACCCTGCCTGTAGTCTAGTAGCTTGTGGTTCTCAAGCTCAGGCCTCAGATCTCCCCAGGCTGTAGGAGAAGTAGAGTTTCGTCGAATGTGCCTGCCAGATTCCATGGGAATTGGAATCTGATAGTCTGAAACTCTCAATCAGCCTGAGAGTGAACCAACAACTAAAGGTCAAGAAGCCAGAACTACATTGATATGTTTGTCAGGATCAGTCTTAACGTTTGATATGAGCGAAGGTTTAGCGTGCTTGTGAAAGTTGGTTCTTAGAAGAAAAGCACTTGAGTTAGGAAATCTCAAGGTACTTAAGCTGGCATTTTCAGGCATCTTCTGATGGTCTTAAACCACCAGAACCAATAGAAAACACAGGCAGCAGTAGTCAGGCCCACATATTCACCCCTCACCACCATGGAAGTCATGAGATGCTGGTTGCCACATGGGTCTTTTTTTAATTTATTTTTCCTTTTTGTTTATTGAAAAGGTGATGAGCAGGGGGTTGCAGTTACATAGGTAAGGCAATAAGTACATTTGTTTTTCATCATTGTTACCCCATCCCTCATTGTCCCCCACTTACCCTTCCCTATTCTCCTCCTCCCCAAGTGGTAATGTTCATATTCAACATAATACCAAATGAGTATGAATGCTGCTGTGGTTCATCCCTTGTCCTGATGTTTCTGATTCCCTTTCCATATTGCATTAACTAATATGCAAAACACGAGGTACCAAAGACGGAGAAACAAAGAAAAAAACAATAGAGAAAAAAGAACAAACTACATCAGGATCTAATAAGAACCTCTTGTTTCCATAAATTGGAGTTCATGTTGATACGCTTCATTACATATAGTCGTATGCACTAAGCAGTTGGTTTATTGAGAACCCCTGTTAAGAATATCATACACATATTCTAGTTCTTACAAATGAGGGAGATCGTGCAACTTACATTTCTTTGGGCCTGGCTTACTTCACTTAATATAATTTTTTCCAAGTCTTTCCATTTCCTTATGAATGGAACAATGTTATTCTTTCTGATGGACGCATAGGATTCCATTGTGTATATGTGCCACATTCATCTACTGGGGGGCATTTGAGTTGGTTCTTAGCTATGGTATCTTAGCTATGGTAAATAATGCTGTAATGAACATTGTCATACTAGTGGGTTTAATGTAACCTTGTTTGTGGTCATTTGGGTAAATTCCTAGAAATAGGATTGGTGGGTCATAGGGAAGCTTTATGTTTAGTCATTTGAGGAGCCTCCACACTGCTTTCCAGAGTGGTTGAAGTTTGTACTCCCACTAACACTGTAGTAGTGTTCCCCTTTGGCCACATTCCTGCCAGCATCTGTTATTGTTAGATTGTGTCAGGTGGAATCTCAATGTTGTTTTGATTTGCATTTGTTTTATAGCCAGAGATGTTGAGCAATTCTTCATGTGTCTCTTGGCCATTTGTATTTCTTCTTCAGAGAGGTCTCTCTTAAGGTCATTTTTTAATGGGGTGGTTGTTTCGGGGTTTGTTTTGGGGGAATTTAATTTCTTGAGCTGTAGGTATATTTTAGATATGAGACCCTTTTCTATTGTATGTCTGGTGAAGATCTTCTTCTTGTCTATGGGTTTTTTTTTTTAATATATTTTGCTAGGTATGTCCTTTGCTGTGCAGAAGCTCTGCAGTTTAATGCAGTCCCATTTATCCAGCCTTTCTTTGATTTTTTGTGTTTCTGGGTCTTTATTAAGAAAGTTTTGATATGTGTCAAAGAGCCCTAGTGTTTCTCCTATTCCTTCTTGTAATATTTTCAGGGTATCTGCTTTTACCTTGAGGTCTTTGATCCATTTGGAGTTGATTCTGGTGCAGGGTGATATTATAAGGATCTAACTTTAGTTTTCTACATGTGTTTAGCCAATTCTATCAATACCATATATTGACTACATGGACCTTTGATGTGGTGATCACTATGAGTCACCCTCATTCATCACAGAAAAGACCCATATGTGCATTATACAACTGGGTATTTCAAGGTGCTGCACCCTTGAGAGTCCAAAGAACAATGCAGAAAACACTATACACACTGAAGTGTCTGCCTAGCACTCTACCAGCTGCCTAGACCTCTACCCAGGACTCAATGATTCAGTCCTTTGTTTGTCCTCTACTCATGGCTGCCTCATTCCACATCTTGCAGAAATGAGTACCATCAGTGTCCAGGCCAGGCTGTGGAATGTGGTGAGGTGTTCAGGTGATAAATAAGCAGAACTCTTCATAGAGGCCAGCCAGATGGTCTCTACAGCTCTGTGGTTGTCAGGAGGAGAGAGCTAGCCTTGCCTTGTTAGCCTGCCTTCCACCTGTACCAAATCAAACACAAGCTGCAGATCTGGAGTGATTTCTGTTGTTCCTTCTGAGTCCTTTTCTTGTCTTGAACTTGTTCTTTCTGCTGGACTAGTTGTGTATAAACACAACTCTTAGTCTCTTTCACCCTATGTACACAACCTTCTATTGCTCCAGAAGACCTGAAAGCCTATGAGCAAAATGGCCACAGACATCCTGGAAATTTCCCCCACTAAACATCAGAAGATGAAGTCCTCTTAGAAGGTCAACATTTATCTTTTGTTCTTTGGTGATTTAACAGTAGAAAAGAGAATAAGATGGGTCTTCATTGTGTCCAGGATAAGCAAGGCTTTCATCTCATATTCTAAATGCCCATTTTCTTCTTTCAGTTCAATGATTCTCCCCTGACTGACAGGATATTCATTTCACAAACCCTGTGGATGCTTGAATTCATTGATAGTACAAAATCCATCTATGCTGTTCTCTTGTGCCTATAGTACTTATAGAAAGTTTAATATACAAATTAGGCACAATAAGAGATTAGCAATAGTAACTAGTAGTAAGTAGAACAATGATAACAATATACTACAATAAAAAGTCATGTGAATATGGTTTCTATCTCAAAGGAATGTTTGTAGTCTGAGGCTGTGGAAAACCACTGGTAACCAAAACTGCAGGAAGGAAAACATGGATATGGGTAGAGGTATGGGGGGGTCTCAAATGAGTTCTCTGCGGGCCACACTTCGTATACCCTTCATAGTTGTCTCTCCGTCAGAGGCCTCAAAAACAATGTTTAAGAGAAACCTACCATATCCAAACTACTTGAGCCATAATTTTGCAGGTAGAATAGAAGCAGAGGCTTGATTTCTCAAATCACAACCACATCTTCATGCAAGGTAAGTTTCAATACTGGAGGTTACCTGATATTCCTTTATCCCCGACACATTGTTTGATATATCAGGGTTATAACGTCACAGGAGACGAGTCTTCCCAGCATGGAGCCAGAGCTCCATTGGTTGTTTCAGCTGTCATTCGGTGACAAGGCTTTTATATTTTGTTTTGTTTTGATGCAGATTCTGATTCAAGTCAGTATGGATCAGAAGAGAAGACAAAGCATTGTTTTTCCCCAGCAAAGCTAGGTTGGACCATGCTGAGCACCAGCAAGAACAAGAAGGCAGTGGAACTTACATGCAAACCACATGCTTTGGGAGCAATGTAGGCACTGCAATGTCCTGTTTCTGAGTTTCAGGGAGACGTGGGTGGCCAGAGAAACTTGCAGAAGAGATGGACCTCCTTCCTGAAGGCCAAGCTGATCTGTTCCCAGCCAGACCCGGGCCTGATCTTCAACACGGTGCAAGATGTTTTTGTGCTGCGAACCCCAGATCTCAAGGAGACAATATTCTATGCCCTCTTCACCCTGCGGATGTAAGTGCCTTTTGCAGGTGGTGTGAATGACAACTGACCTGCTGCTCTGTGAACACTCAACATAGTCTCTCCTTTGCAGGGACAAGTTGGGGCTAGTGCAATTGTCAGCCGTCTGTGCCTACACACAGTCCAAAATAGAGGAAGTCTTCTCCCAAGGGAACTACATGGGGTTTGAGGGCACATGGATGCCCTACAATGGCCCAATACCCACCCCTCGGCCAGGCGCGGTAAGTGAGGTGGGGCTTCAGGAAAGGGCTCTTCTTTCCATTCAAGTGTCCAGGCCAGACGGTGAAACTAAACACAGAACCCATGCAGCTGGGTCATCTGGCTAGATGATTCTCTCTGCCAAAAGTTGGCTGTTTGGTCAACCCTCAGGCTCAGCCTGAGAGCTGACAGTCCCAGCTTGGGCCTTCTCTTTCCTTTGTGCGCTGTAAAACCTGTCTCACCATGCCATCCTGTGGAATTAACACTATATAATACAATTACAACTATTTCATTTCAAGTTTCTATCAAGAAACATACAATTACCAGTTGTCAGTAGCTTACAGCTGTACTTCTACTTACTGAGGAAGCTGAGGTCTGAGGATCCCTGTTTAAGGCCAGTTCCAATGAGGCTTTTATCTCTAAACAACTAGCAAAAAGCCAGAATTGAAGGTGTATCTCAAGTGGGTAGAGTGCCAGCTTTAAGCAAAAAAAAAAAAAAGCTTAGCCTAGGTCTTGAGTTCAAGTGTTGGAAGGAAGGAAGGAAGGAAGGAAGGAAGGAAGGAAGGAAGGAAGGAAGGAAGGAAGGAAGGAAGGCAGGAAGGCAGGGAGGGAGGGAGGAAGGAAGGAAGGAAAGAAAGAAAGGGGAGGGAGAGAAGGGAAGGGAAGGAAGGAAAAGAGGGAGGGAGGGTGGGAAAGAAGGAAGGAAAGGAGAGTGGGAAGGAGGAAAGAAGAGAGGAGGGAAGAGGAGGGAAGGAAGAGGAGGGGAAGGAAGGAATGAAAGAGGAAGGAAGGGAAGGAGGGAAGAAGGGAAGAGGGAGAGAAGAGGAGGGAAGGGAAGAAAGGGAGGAAGGGGGAAGGAAGGAATGAGAGAAGGAACAAATTAAAGAAGGAGGGAGGGAAGGGAAGAAGGAAAGGAGAGAGAGAAAGATGGAGGGATAGAAAGAGAGGGAGGGAGGCAGAGGCAAAGGCCTCTGCACGTATCTGAGCTATCTTGTCCACTAGTCAATAAGAGCCATGCATTTTCCTACTACAGAGTCAATTTTAGGTAAAGGGAATAGAAATTTCCAGAGTTGATCTGGCTGCCTACTTCTTGTATACCAAGTAGTAAATAGGTGTTTTTGTGGATCTTGGATCAACCCTGCCCTGGTCTTCACAGCTTCTCCAAGACTAGCTCTCTCTCTCTCTCTCTCTCTCTCTCTCTCTCTCTCTCTCCCCTCTCTCTCTCTCTCTCTCTCTCTCTCTCTCAGTTTTATGCACATCAAGAAGCTGGTACCCAAAGAATCCTTCTTGCCATATCTTTTACGCTATTTAACACAATGCTGTTTTCATCAATACTTGACAGGGAAAAGCTATCCTATGATGTTTTCAATTTCAAAAGCTTGTTCTTTTTTATATTGATAGATAATTCTTTTCCTGATGATGTCTCAAAAGCATAATTTTATCTGGTAGCTGTGTTTAGGATTGTGTCCTCTGATTATGGAGGAAGCGTACCTCAAGTTTCCACCGTCCTTCTTTTGCGAAGACATTCTGTGCTGCACCTAAGCTGACTCCCAGTGCTAGTCAGAGCTAGGCAGGCTCGTTAACCAGTGATTTTTGTCTTCGCAGTGTACCAACAGTGAAGCACATGGAAGCAACTACACCAGCTCTATGAATTTACCAGATGAGACAGTACAGTTTGTCAGAGATCACCCTTTGATGGACGACTCAATAACTCCAATAAATGACAGGACTGAGTTTATCAAAAAAGGTGTGAACTACACCCAGATTGTGGTGGACAGGACCCAGGCTTTGGATGGGAAATTCTATGATGTCATGTTTGTCAGCACAGGTGAGATCCAAGGGCTTCACAGTCATTGTATGTTTCATATTAGCATAAGAAAAAGGAAAATTCACATGAAACCTTTATGGATAGATACAGGATTTTTCGTCATGTGATCCTCGTAGTGGATGACACTGTGAAAGGATTATTGAGCTATTGCCACATCCAAGTCTCTATGACCATCATGTTACCTGTGGGTCTTGTTAAACATGCAAGTCTGGCCTGTGTCTGGGATGAGCTGCTGTAAAGAAGCCCCTAGTATCTTGGAAGGGCAGAGATAGGCATCCCAACATCAATTGTGATCACTCATCAGCCTGGCATTTCCAAAGTACTGGCAGTAGGCCTTCTCCCTGAAATCTGGGATGAGAGCTGAGCCAAGTCCTCACGTGTGGGAGATACACCTCCCCTCATCTGTACACTCTAAAGCCAGTATTTTCCAATAATGACAGTGGCACACAGCCTCGGCAGGTGTCAGAGCATAATGCCTACCACAGTGCTTCCCGGCTAACTTGTGTGTCCCATTCTCAGCTGCCTGTAGGCCCAGTGGAGTAGAGTCTCTGAATAGCCAATGATTCGTAGGAGCCACTTTACATGGGATGTGCCTTTCACTGTCTCAGTGTCAACTTCATTGATGAAAGAAGTTGGAGGGGGCTTACGCTTCACAAGACAAGTTAGAATAACGACGAATGTGATTTTCTAATTTATTGTTTCTGTGAAGGGTGTTCGTTGCAATGCCCTTCATTCTTAATGCAATGTCATTGTCTTAAACATCTCATTGAACAAGGAACTGGGAGTAGGGAAGGGGGAGCTTTGTCGCTGAGATCAGAGTCCATAGTGTATGTCCTCCCTCCTCAACCCCGTGGCAGCCGCACTGACCCCTGGCTTTGACCTTGCAGATCAGGGCACCCTGCACAAAATTATCAGACTTGAGAACGTTGCGCACATGATTGAGGAGACCCAGATTTTCCAGAAATCCGAACCTGTCCAAACCCTGGTGCTGTCTTCAAAGAAGGTAAAGTGGCTAGGGAACAAGACTGGTCGACTGCTTGCTGAGTGACTTTGCATGTCTGTGAGTCTGGTTGGTAAACTTGGCCACTGAAGTCTGCCTGGCCCAGGTGATCTAGTCTCTGGGACCACACACAAAGCTGCTGGAGGAACATGGGATTTAAAGCTTAGAAAGGAGACAGGCAGAACTGGAGAGACAGAAGCACTGAGTCCTTGGTGCATATGGTGGCCGCCAATGGGAGACACTCCCTGACTTGTGAAAAAAATTCTTATGTTCCTAGTCTGTGAGATTGCAGGTTGTATAGGTGGAATGTTAGGTTGTACAGAGACACATCAATGTACTAACTGGTAAGAGAAATGATACATCACTCTACAGTTCTCCTGTATGTCAGCACCCTACTTCCTTCCTAACCAGGGGCAGAAAATGTCTTATGTGAGGGTCTAACAGTCAGTTTTGGAGGTTTGGAGGTGGAAAGTGCCAACCTCCAAACAAAAGCCATCATCTTGGCCCTATAGTATGGCCCAAACTTTTCATAGATGACAAAATATCCCTTCATTTTCAACCTTTAAAAAATATAAAATTCTTTAGCTAGAGGGATGGGCAGAAACATTTGGTGGTTAGGAATTCCAGATTTGATTTTTTAAATTTTTTTTTTATTGTGAGAATACATACAGAGGAGTTACAATTACATGGGCAAGATAACAAGTACATTTCTTATCAAGCATTGTTGCCTCCTCTTTGTTTCCCATTCCCATCCCTTCCCATATTCTCCCCCTCCCCCACTCGATCCTCCCCACCACACCAAAGTTGTAAAGTTCGTTTTTCTTTTTTGAAAGAATTTTTTTATTGTGAAAATACTGTGCAGAGGGGTTACAATTACATGGGCAAGATAATGAGTACATTTCTTATCAAGCATTGTAGCCTCTTCCTTTGTTTCCCTTTCCCATCCCTTCCCATCCTCCCCCCATCTCCCCACCAAATCCTCCTCCCCCCACACCAAAGTTGTAAAGTTCATTTTTCGACATAACGACTTGTACATTTCATTGTTGCAATGGGTCCACCTGTATCCCTGTTTAAACGATTTGTTTTTTCCCTTCCTCTCCACAAATTATACCAACATCAAATACAGTGAAACCATGGGGGAGGGACATACAAAGCAACATAGAAATCATCTTATAAATATGTTAGAAACAATTGCATGAAAGGAAAAAAAACAAAAAAACATTTGAGTACTTATCTTGGAGTTCATTCCCCTAACATCAACTTATCTGACCTTTTCTGCTTGACTCAGACATATACTAGACTCAGTTGCTACAGCTTCCATCTCCTGCCAAATGTCCACATGACTGGAACAAGAGTTATTACGCCATTTTATACTTGGGCTGGAGCAGTGAGAAGCAGAATACAGGCAGTTCCAGATCCTGACTTGCCATATATGGTCCAGTAATGCCAGAGAGGCCAGCTTTGTGTTCTGTGTTTAGTTTCCTCACTGTATATTAAGAGTAAAAGCTGTGAGGATTACACAAGTCTGGTGGAGCAGTTTCTGCTGAGAATCTGTGAGTTGGGCCAGCACCTGTTCTTTGTAAGAGATGGCACAAGGTAAGGAGCCTGCATGATACCTGTCACTCCAATATATTCCCTTCTCCTTAAAGGGGTTCCCTGAAGTCCTATACGCAGATCCCAGGATAAGATCTACTGATCTGGGCTAGTTATGTGACCTGGGCCATTCTTGTGGTCAGTTGGCCCGGCCATACAGTGTCTCTGAAGGTACTCCTTTACAAATCCTAGCTCTGGAGTACAAGCTCTTTGGGTTGGTATGGCTTTCTACGTGGCAGAGAATCTCAGTGTGCCAGAGAAGCGTGTGGCAGCTTCTGCACTCCTGTGCAGAGCTGTCTTCTTGGAGCTGATGTCTGCTCAGGACACATGGCACAAGTGAGGTCCTATAATCCTCATCCACTCAGTGGGACAGAGCTGACCTTTCAGTAGACCCACATGTATGTGCATCCTTCTAGAGCCCCCCCCCCCATCTTCTCCCTATAGCCATGTCCAGGAAGCATGAGAAGCTGAGCCTTCAAAACTCCCGTTACGCTTCCCCCTTCCCTCCTAGCCACTGTAAACTCTATTCACTCAAAGTTTCTGAGGGGTGAATAAATAAAGTCCCCTACATAAGCTGTGAGCCTTCCTATTCTAGACATTTCTCTGTGACTGTTTTGTCTCTTGCTTCTTGCCCAAATGGGCAGGAGATGTGCAAGATGTCTGCGTTAGCCATTCCTGGCTTCTCTGCAGAAACTTCTTGTGCTTCCATGTAGGAGACTGCAATGGGGTGGTGGCCAGTGAGGTGGCCACACCTCCATACAACCCACTAATGCTTCACACTGCTCCTGGCTTCTGCTTCTGCTTCTACTTCTTCTGCTTCTTCTCTTTCTTCGGCTTCTGCTTCTGCTTCTTCTGCTTCTCCTGCTTCTCCTTCTGATTCTCCTTCTCCTTCTCCTTCTTCTCTTCCTTCTCCTTCTCCTCCTTCTCCTTCTTCTCCTTCTCCTTCTCCTTCTTCTCCTTCTTCTTCTTCTTCTCCTTCTTCTTCTCCTTCTTCTTCTCCTTCTTCTTCTCCTCCTTCTCCTTCTCCTCCTTCTCCTTCTCCTTCTCCTTCTCCTTCTCCTCCTCCTCCTCCTCCTCCTCCTCCTCCTCCTCCTCCTCCTCCTCCTCCTCCTCCTCCTCCTCCTCCTCCTCCTCCTCCTCCTCCTCCTCCTCCTCCTTCTCCTTCTCCTTCTTCTTCTTCTCCTCCTCCTCCTCCTCCTCCTCCTCCTCCTCCTCCTCCTCCTCCTCCTCCTCCTCCTCCTCCTCCTCCTCCTCCTCCTCCTCCTCCTCCTCCTTCTCCTTCTCCTTCTTCTTCTTCTTCTTCTCCTTCTTCTTCTCCTTCTTCTTCTCCTTCTTCTTCTTCTTCTCCTTCTCCTTCTTCTCCTTCTTCTCCTTCTTCTTCTCCTTCTTCTTCTCCTTCTCCTTCTTCTTCTCCTTCTTCTTCTCCTTCTTCTTCTCCTTCTTCTTCTCCTTCTTCTTCTCCTTCTTCTTCTCCTTCTTCTTCTCCTTCTTCTTCTCCTTCTTCTTCTCCTTCTTCTTCTCCTTCTTCTTCTCCTTCTTCTTCTCCTTCTTCTTCTCCTTCTTCTTCTCCTTCTTCTTCTCCTTCTTCTTCTCCTTCTTCTTCTTCTTCTTCTTCTTCTTCTTCTTCTTCTTCTTCTTCTTCTTCTCCTTCTCCTCCTCCTCCTCCTCCTCCTCCTCCTCCTCCTCCTCCTCCTCCTCCTCCTCCTCCTCCTCCTCCTCCTTCTTCTTTCTTTTCTTTTTGTCAGTCATGGGGTTTGAACTCCGGGGCTGGGCGCTGTCCCTGAGCTCTCCAGCTCAAGGCTACTGCTCTACCACTTGAGCCACAGCACCACTTCTGGTTTTCTTTTTGTGGTGGTTAATTGGCGATAAGAGTCTCACAGACTTTCCTGCTAAGACTGGCTTTGAACCATGATCCTCAGGTCTCAGCTTCCTGAGTAGCTAGGATTACAGGTATGATCCCCCGGCCCCTGGCTGTTGTCTTTTTTTTTTTTTTTTGCAAGTACTACGAGTTGCACTCAGGGCCTTATGCTTGGCACACAGGTCCTCTATTTATTTTTCAAACAGGGTCTTGTATTTTGCCTGGATTTGATTAGACTCCTTCACCTTATTTATGATTGCTTTGTAATTGAGAAGTTTCATGTGCACCACCACTTGCAGTTTGTTTGTAGAGATGGACTCATGTTAATTTTTTACCAGCAGCCTGGCCTTCTCTTTGCCATTTACAATATGATTTTGAAACGATGCTGGCATTTCAAAAGCTCAGTGAGGAGGGCCTGCAGGATTCTCACACTCCCACCAGCCTTATCTTGCACAGCATGTCACAGAGGCAGTGTGTAGGATCACCTGCCAGGCTTCAGGCCTGCTCCACTGCCCTCTCCATCACACTGTCTGCAATAGGAACCCATGAGAGATTCGAGTAGCAGTCTCCACTTGTCTGTCCTTGCCTCCATTGACCAGAAGAGGGGCCTGTGGCATGCCTAGTGTTTTCTGTGATCATTGGTTGGGGAGATCATAATGGGAAGAGGGGACCTGATAGGACTGTGCTATGCATAAGCCTCCTGGGAAGGCCCTCAGCCATGTTCTTTGTCCAACTCTTTAGGTATCCTTTCCTTGCCCCATGTATCAGTATGTCTGGATCACACACACAAGACATCAGAAAGACTAGCTCTCATTTTCCAGGGTAGGAAGAGCAAAGAACGTATAGGGATATGTTAAACTCACATTCATTCATTGATTTAGGAGAATGAACTTTAAAATATGAAATATACTTGGTCCTCTGTATCCAAGGACTCCATACCTGGTTCCACATTTTACAATTTAGGAAAATTAGACTGAAAACATGAATGAGAAAATTGGGGGCATACTGAACATTTGTAGATTTTTTTGTTAATATCCCCGAAACATTATGGTATGAGAGTTATTTATGTAGTGCTTACATTGTCTTGGGCATTATAAGCCAACTAGCGATGATTTAAAGTGGAGGGGAGGTTATGTAGGTTCTGCACAAACACTTCATCAACCTCCATAAGTTACTGAGGATATGGTGTGAAAGGTTCTTCTTCCTCCTTTTCCTCCTCCTCCTCCTCCTCCTCTTCTTCTTTTTGTTGGTCACGGGGCTTGAACTCTGGGCCTGGGCACTGTCCCTGAGGTCTTCAGCTCAAAGCTACTGCTCTACCACTTGAGCCACAGTGCCACTTTTGGTTTTCTGGTGGTTTATTGGAGATAAGAGTCTCACTTGCTGGCTTTGAACCGTGATCCTTAGATCTCAGCCTCCTGAGTAGCTAGGATTACAAGCATGAGCCACCAGTGCCCGGCCAACATCTGCTGATACCAGGAAAGTGTCTGCATTTGTTTTCCTTGCTAACCATTAGCATTGTGCCTGGTCCACAGCAAGTACTGCTCACAGTCCTGTTGGAGGCTGTTTCTCTCTCCTTTTTACATTTACCCAGTGCAATGCATGATGTCAGTGGTCACAACTTAGTTCCATTTGAGCTCAAGTCCAGCCCATCAGGGAGAATCAAGGATGAAGGTACTGTCGGATACAAGCTTTCTAGGATGAACCTACCCTCCCACAGCCCACATTCCCTTCAAAACTATCCTTAGAGACCTCTTCTAACTGGACAGAGGCATTGTGTGGGGCTCCTCAGCCAGCCTGATGCCACCAGTTCTGTTTTGCAGAAGTATGACATTGCAGAGATGGCCCTGAGAGGATCCAGTTCAGTCTTCTTTTCAGGATGTGTTTCCACACTTGCATAGTCATGAGATTCCCCAGAATCTCTGAGAGAGTTAAGTTAGGAACATACTAGACCAAGTCTGCACTAAAGGAGCAGCTAAGTGAGGTTGGGCCAGATCTTGTCTTCTATCCATGGGTATAGCAGTTTTCACCCTTGGGTGGAGTGCTCTCTTTCCCTTTGCATTTGTACTTGATCACATGTGTTCACAACCCGATCCTGAATGTGTTGTCTGAGGGTAATGGTTGTGTTTTGTCTGACTCTAAAATATCAACTTGTATGTACCTTGTGATTCTCTGATACACTGATTCTGTGATTCTCGTGTGTGTGTGTGTGTGTGTGTGTGTGTGTGTGTGTTGGCACACAGTCTGCCACTCAAGGCCTCAAATTCTTATCAGGGTTGCTTGCTCATGGCTGGTACTATGCCACTTGAGCCATGCCTCCAGTCTGGCATTTGGCTGTTTAATTCCAGATGGAGTCTCACACGCTTTTCTGCCTAGCTGGCTCCCAACCACACACTTCAGGTCTCATCTCCCCAATAGCTAGGATTACAGCCCTGAGCCACAGGTGCCCAACCAGTTTCAGGTTTACTAGGTTGTTAAAGTGAAACAAAACTCCCACTCTGAGAGTGGAAACACGGTATACTGTCATCCTACATGTGCCTTCTCTCAGACTATGTTCAGTAGATACAACCACCTGTCCTGATCTCCTGTATTCAGGAGGGCTGCTCAAGTTAACCTGGAATTGGTGACAAGAGGCTGGAGGCACTTGGCTCTGAATGGGTCTGCACTGGAGCATAGCAGCTGATTCCTCCTCACAAAGAAGGATGAGTAAAAGCCATCAGTTTGGCTTACCAGCCTTCTGCTCATTCTTAGTACACTGTTAATGGTGTCTTCACACCTGGATCCTGGGCCTAGGCTCTAATGACACAATGCCCTATTTGCAGGTGTCCATATTTTGACACAAAGTATGAGATTGGCCTTCAGGCTGTGCCATTTGGCTTCCAGATGTGATGCTGTCTCATAGGCAGTGTTGCTAACAGGACAACCTAGGGTGTTAGGCTAGTAAGGACAGCTGAAGGACAAGGCAAATGATCACTTTTCTCCCAGAAAAGAAGCTAGCATTGGAGAACACTCTGTAAACAGCCAGGCTGGCAGGCAGGGGGCGCTCAGGCTAGAGGAAGGGCCAGATTCAGATCAAAGGCCCAGTGAACCTTTATCTTCTTGGACACCAGACACTGCCTTTTCCTTTCACACAGCTATAATAGATAATAGCTTTGGATCCCAACAGCCTTATCTGCTGGCTGGTTCTGACATAAATAGGGCATTCCCACTTAATGCAGTACACACCAAACTCCTAAAGATGCTCAGAGCCTCAGCCATCCATGAGATTTGCCTTACACCTGCTCTGTCTCTGTCTCCTACACAGGGCAGCAAGTTTATCTACGCTGGCTCCCACGCAGGAGTGGTCCAGGTCCCCCTGGCCTTCTGCAGGAAGCACAGCAGCTGTGAGGACTGCGTGCTGGCGCGGGACCCCTACTGTGCCTGGAGCCCAACTGAGGGCACCTGCGAGGTTCTGCATGAAACCCAAGGCCCAAACAGGTATGGACTATGGGCCCCTCATGCAAGTACCCACATACATGTACAGTGAGTAATTACTGTCTGTTGTCTTGTAGGGGCTGGATTCAGGATTTGAATGGCAATGTGTCCTCGTGTCCAGGTGAGTTTTTCCCATTGTACCATCCCCTCAGCAACTGAATACTGTCCAATCATATGCTGGTACTAGTACCTCTGTGTGTGTGTGTGTGTGTGTGTGTGTGTGTGTGTGTGTGTGTGTGTGTGTTGTTGTTGTTGTTGTTGTTGTTTTCTTTCTCTACTCTGAACGGAGGTCACCTGTCATGTGCCAGACCGGTGATCTCCTATGCCCCTCTGATTACAGAGAGTGTATTTGTACCAGAAAGCTTTTCTGTCTCCTACTCTCTTCTTTTCTGTTCTGCTCAGCTGGAGCTTGTTAAAACTACCACCTGTTAAGAATAGGAAGAAAGGAAGTCCATGAGGGCAAGTTGAGCTGCTCTAATCCAAAGTTCCCAAATCTGAAATGTTTTTGAACGCCAGTTGACACCACAACTGGAAAATTCCACACCATAGATCTTTGTACCATACATAAAATTATTAACTATATTATATAAATTTATCTTCAAGTTGTGTATATAAGAAAATATGTAAAACACAAATACATTTTATGTTTGAAGGCCTGTCCTCCACCCCCAAGATAGGTCTCATTACACATATACAAACAAAATCCAAAATCTGAACAAACTTGAAATCCAAAATCTTTCTGGTCCCAAACACGTCAGACAAGAGACACACAACACATAATTAGTTCTGATGTCTACTAAGTTTGAATGCAGATTAAGATGGCCTATGCCTGCTTCCTCTTTTCTCTGAGCAGATAGCAATCTTCAGGTTAGGAAAAATTAAAAAGAAGTATACGATGCATTGAATGTGGGCCTCCCTGTAAGTGCTAGCAGAAGCAGTTTGTATTGGGCTGAGAATTCTGCTGCTAGATGTGCACAGCTGCTCAATGCTCGCGCTCCCTGTGTAGGTATGTTTTCTCCTGGAGTGAGAAGTGGGAATTTTGTTACTCAGAGCCATCTGAGTTAGCTCTGCTAACCAGGGGTCATCTTGCATTTGGCCATCTATATCTTTATCTTCTCAGTTGTCCTGAAGTTCCATCTTCCTCCAGCAGGTGATACTTTTGTGTCATCGGCTTTTCTTTTTTTCTTTTTTTTTTCCAGTCATGGGGCCTGTACTCTGGGCCTGGGTGCTATCCCTCAGTTCTTTAGCTCAAGACTAGCACTCTTACCACTAGAGCCATAGCACCACTTGCAGCTTTTTCTGCTTATGTGGTGCTGAGAAATTGATTCGAGGGCCTCATACATGCAAGGCAAGCGCTCTACCACTGAGCCACCATCCCAACCCCTGTCATCAGCTTTTAAAAGCAGTTGAGTAAGTGAACAGAGTTAACATGTACATTTCTCTTGATGTTCTAGGTGACAGGGTATTACGTTCCCAGTGGCATATTTCCTTCACTGGTAGCACAGCATATCTCAGATGCTCCCTAAAGTCCAACATGGCCTGGGCGATATGGAAGTTCCAGAATCATGTGATAGAAACTAATGAGGATAAGTACATTCTTATAGAGAAGAAAAACCTGCTCATCACCAACCTCTCCATGAAAGACAGAGGGAGGTACCAGTGCCTGTCTGAAGAGTGGGTCAACAACAAGGCAGTTACTCAGGCACTCAACAGACACATCCTGGAGGTGAAGCTGTGTTCAATACCTTGCTCTCCTGGTAAAAGTTAGTAAGGTAACCCTTAAAGGGTCTGTGGCACCCACCAAGAGGTCCTACCCCTGGGCCTTAGTTAAAAAGGCAATAGCCAGCAGCGACCAGCATGCCCTGAGAACCAAAGTTTGTCATCAACATGGTTCACCAGTTCCACTTATGAAAGACTGGATCTCTCCAGTGTGGTGACAATGACCTGCTCCATGTCTCCTTTCCTCTTCCTGTTCATCTTCTTTCTTTGGCTCTCGGACTACAACTGCCACAATGGCTACCTGCCTAGATATTCCTTGAAATTCTGCTCCATCTGCTACTTGAGAAGAAGTTGAAGTCAGATTTTTCTCATCCAGAGAGCATAAGGGGACATTAATAGAGCCTGGGAACTTCTCCCTGAAATAATGGCAAGCTGCTGAAGCCAGCCCTGGGACCCTGCTATGTATGAGACAGAGAAGGACACCATCACCACACAGAAATCATAAGGACATGCAAACTTTCTGTCAGTGACAGCCTCCTGACGACAAGTATGAACTGAAGTTCACTGGCTTGGGTGTGATTGTTGACTGCAGCCTAGCTATACCTTCCCACTTGTGTCTTGCAGTCTGTGCTTGGAGAGTTTTGTGTTTGCCCCTCAGTAGTCCAGTCTCATAATGATAATAAAGCAAATCCCAGTCTTTGTCACTTTCCTCTTGAGTTGAAGCATCGTTTTTCATACAAATTTTCTTTCTCTGTTCTTTCTTGTTTCCTTTTTCTTTATGAGGGAGCAACTAGAGGGAGACTCAATTGAAGAGTACTCTCCCATGCCCACAAGACAGGTTCTGAGTAGAGAAAGCTAGATCTATAGCTCTGGTGGTCAGTAGGTCTGAGCCATGAATGCCGGAGCATTTTACCATCTTTCAGCCATGCCTGATGATTTGAACCTCCTGTCCAAATGGAGGGAGCCATTAAAAGACAACGTTGTGTGAACATTTGTCTCTTCTGGCTTCCATGTCAACCCACTGGGCTTCTGCTTTGATTTCACTAAAGATGTCCTACCTGAAGAGAAGTGAGTCAGGGTGGATTGGGCCTTTGGCTGTAGCCAAGACTACAACATCCTGGTGATAAAGGTGACTGACATTCCAGATGATTCCTACCACAATCTTTAAAGATATAATGGGCTATATAAATTTCACAAGAATCCTATACTCCTTCTCCCCAGCCTATGCTATAAGGAGATGTTCACTCTATGGTAATGAGCAGTAAACTGGGTTTCTGTGTGTTTGTGTGACAGTCACATGTACAGCATGATGTGATTTGGCTATTTTAGTGGAGACAGTTGTGTTTTCTGAGATTTTTCTTCTTATTTTTCTCTTTTGAATTCTATACATTTGGAAAATATCCAAAAACCATAGGTTTTTTGTGTTTTTTTATTGTGAAATTGCTGTACAGAGGGGTTACAATTACATGGGCAAGATAGTGAGTACATTTCTTATCAAGCATTTTTTTTCCAAAACCCGTAGGTTTTTGAGTGCCCATTACTTAGTTTACTGTGTGATGGCCTGGTAGTGTGGCCCTCGACTCTCCCTTTGCTTATCTACCTGTCTGTATCCCTCCCCCTGGTGGGATACATGTCTAATTACTGTCTCAGTATCCTTTGTTTCTGCCAGACTCATCTCCTAAGACTTCCTCATTGCTCCTCATAGCTGACCTCTCTGGACCTAGAGTTATTTTTCTCTCCCTGGAGTCTTGGCCACATATGGGCTCAGCTCTGATGGCAGCATATGGAGCATCTTGCTGCCCTGCCGTCCATCCTGAGTGACCTGGCATCTAGGTGCTGGCATGGAGTACTCTACCCTTCTTCAGCCAGGCCACAAGTGAATAGAAACACATCCTACCTACCACCATCTCCTGCCAGGGGTATGTGGGCAGGAGGCATTATACAAGAAGCCACTCCATGCCCATTCGGTCTTCTAGCTCTGCCTTTGTTACCTGCTGCTTTCCTGGCTGTGTCCCTGAGGTCAAATCATCTCATATTTTCACAAATGTTTATCCTGAGATAAACTGAACAAACAGGACAGGCAATTTCTAGCTTACGTCAGGAGTTAGCCATAGAGGACCAGGTGTTGACACTTTCAGGTTTTATTGGTACAGGAGACTCTGTCATAGCTTCTCAGCTCAGTCATCATGCCATAAAAGCAGCCATGATAAGCCAGGCACTTGTGGTTCATGCCTGTAATCCTAGCTACTTGGGATGCTGAGATCTGAAGATCATGGTTTGAAGCCAGTCCTGCCAGAAAAGTCTGTGAGATTCTTATTTCCAATAAACTACTCAGAAAAAGCTGCAAGTGATACTGTGGCTTAAGTGGTAGAGAGGCTAGCTTTGAACAAAACAGCTCAAGACCAGTGCCCAGGCTCTGAATTCAATGAGTTCAAGTCCTAGAACTGGCATAAAAGAAAAAAAAAAAGTAGCCATGGTGGTGTAGTGTCTGGCAGGTACTTACAGAAACTACTCTATGGGTGAATTGATCAAGACACATTGTATTCATAATCTGATTTGCTGAATGGTAACCTCTTTGTACAACTATTTTAGAAGTATATATGTATATGTGTGTGTATGTGTATATGTGTGTGTGTGTGAAGAAAGAAAGAGAGAAAGAAAGAAAGGATGGAAAGAAGGAAGGAAGCACTCTTGTGTGCCACTGCTCACATGGGAGGAGTTCTCCTGAAATGGGAGAATGCTCCCTTTCCTTGTACATAGTCTTCTGAAGGGCAACAATTCATGCTTAACTGTGCTTCCATTGTATTCCTGGCTTCAGTGATCTGGTTTCTGTCTCATTGACTGGGTTAGGCTTCTGCATGGAGGTGACGTGAAATTCTTGAGGAAGAAAAGAAAATTCAGTGTATCTTTTTTTTATTATTGTGGAAATACCGTACAGAGGAGTTACAATTACATGGGCAAGATAATGAGTACATTTCTTTTTTTTTTTAACTTTTGTCCATACTTGATTTTTTTTTTATTGTGAAAATGCTGTACAGAGGGGTTACAATTACATGGGCAAGATAATGAGTACATTTCTTATCAAGCATTGTTGCCTCCTCCTTTGTTTCCTCTTCCCATCCCTTCCCATCTTCTCCCCCCTTCCCCCCCCCCAAAGTTGTAAAGTTCGTTTTTCGTCATATGACTTATACATCTCATTGTTGTAATGGGTCCACCTGTATCCCTATTTAAACGATTTGCTTTTTCCTTTCCCCTCCACAAATTATACCAACATCAAATACAGTGAAAGCAGGGGTTATACCGTGGGGAGGGACATGCAAAGCAACAAAGAAATAATCTTATAAATGTGTTAGAAACAATTGCATTAAAGAAAAAAACATTTGAATACTTATCTTGGGGTTCATTTCACCTAACATCAACTTATCTGAGTTTTTCTGTTTGACTCAGACATACACTAGTTATTGCAAATAAGGGAAACCATGAGACTATGTTTCTTTGGGCCTGGCTTACTTCACTTAATATAATTTTTTTGAAGTCTTCCAAGCTGCAGATCCTTTAATCTGCTGCTCTTTCCTGTTAAAGATGCTTTAGAATCTGCCAGTGACCACATGTGTGCAACAGCTTGTGACCCTCCATAGGCTTCTCCAGGAAGTCAGCAAACACGAGAGCTACTGGGACTCAGCACTGTGGTTCCAATTGTCTAAGCTGACTCTCTCTCTTCTTTCTTGTCCCTCCCTGTCTCTGTCTCTCCCTCTCTCCCTCTCTCCCTCTCTCTCTCCCTCTCTCTCTCTCTCTCTCCCTCTTTTTCTCTCTCTCTCTTTCTCTCTCTAATGGAGTCTTGCAGGGTGGTTTAAGCATACCTTGAATTCCTGGGCTTAAGCCACTTTCCTGCCTTAGTCTCTCTAGTAGCTGAGACTGAGATGTTTGCACTGTGTCCAATGCTCCTGGCTCAGCTCAATGTTATAGAGAAACTTTAGATTCATACACCTGCATGTTGCTCTTCAGTCAAGTATTTTACCTCAGGCAGAAGGCAGGCAGAAGGATAGGATCTTCCTTCACATCTTCCTGGGTACAGCAGAGGCCTTCAGAAACATGTTCTGGAACCTCCTCAATGGTATATGTGTGTGGTGGGTGGGAGGTTGGTGTTGAATTAATTTGAAGACATGTCAAAGACCCCAGGACTCCTTCACTGTGAAAGGTGATTTCAACCAAACATGAGGGCAGGACAGAGTCCTCAGCATTGTGCAGGAAGAACTATCATATTATTAACTCAGAGGATTTCAAAAGTGTTAGCGGTTAGTTATGTGTTGTTTGCACAAGCCCCAGGTTTGGGAAGAGAAAGAAATGTGATGTCTTGGAGACATCAGACATCATTGTCATATCCAGAGTAATCATGCACATTGCCAGGGATTCAGCCAACAGGGAGAGAGAGGTCAGGGTAAGCCCACCCAGAGGGAAATGTTCCCTGCTGTATGTGAAGGAGTAGCCAGGAGAGCTTGGCGAGATGTGCAGCGCAGGTGAGAAGCAGTGGTTCACTGCCCATGGAGCATGAGAGGGGAATTGGCTCCAACTTGAGCTACGGAAATTCTTCGTCTAAAAGTTTGGCCATGAGGACCTTCAACAGCCCCTGTTCCTCACTACTGGGGGAACTGTTGGGTGGAGAAGGAGACTACCTACTTTTAGAATGGACATTTATGTGTAATGTTGTAGAATATTCTCACATTCCTTGGCCTCACAGAGAGTTACCTTCTTAAAGTTACACTCTAGCTAGATATCCATCTGCTTGGAGAATGGCTAATAAGACATAGTATCATGGAAGACATTCAGTGGTTACTAGAAATTGCTGCTCTGAGTATCTGCTTTCCCCATGGATTCAGTCGACTAATGGGTCAGAAATATTCACAAAGTAGAAAAATTACATCTGTACTAAATGTACAAAATCTTTTTTCTTAATGCTGTCACTAAGCAATGCGACATAGTAACTATTTACATAGTGTTTGGAGTGCATTAGGTTTTCTAAAGCAATTCAGAGATGATTTATTAAAAGTGTTTAGGTATATGAATATGTGTGTGTGTCACATGTGTACAGATTATATGCAAATACTACATCATTTTATGTCAATGACTTGAACATGTATAATTTTTATATCTGCAAGGGTCCCGGGGTCAGATCCTGTGGACATTAATGAAAAACTTTCTATAATCTCCAACTAATGAATATCTGTATACATGGAGAGATGTATATAATCATATGCATGTAGGTACACATTCATATACGCTTGTAGGTAGATGGAATGGAACTTGTGGTTAGAGTTGACAACACTTTAAAGCAGAAGGAAACAAGTTATACCGGGGGATATATGTGATATGTGTGGTGGGATTTGACTAAAGATATCAGATGGAAGAGCATGAAGTTCAGAGGCAGTGGGGCCCACATCCTATTGGTGATTAGGGGCCCTCTTCTAAGCAAGACCCAGAGACTGAACTGAAAGCTGTTGCAAGTTACTTCCAGTCCAGCTGAGGCAAGAAAATCCTTCAGTGGGAATACCAACTCTTCCTGCCTGGCAAGTCCTATTCAAAGCACAGGTGGACATAATCCATGTGTCTGCAAGTTCAGAGTACATTTGCTTTACCTGGGAAAAGATCGGGCATGCCCTTAAAATATACATGGTCATGCAGGCCTATGTACACATGAACTCAGCTGGCTGTGTGATACCAGCCAGGAGATTAGCAAGTACTATTCTGCCTCTCCTTATTCAGGAGCCAGACCACCAAAATGTAAATCTCCAAAGAACTGTGGAACAAATTCAAAGATACAGAATGAACCACACACTGATAGCCACCTGAATTTTTTGTCAAGGAACCTAGTGTGTGCATTGGGGAAAAGATAACCTCTTCAACAAATGTTCTGGAAAACCTAGTTATTCATCTGTAGAATACTGAATTGGACCCTTCTCTCTCACCTTTGTATCAATTCAAAGGAGATCAAAGACTAGAAACGTTGAAACTTCTATAGGAAAGAATAGAAAACGTATTAGAACTTATTGGTATAGGAAGTAATGTCCTGAGTAACTCCAACAAATAGAGGTAAACATCAACAAATGAAATTGCATCAAGTTAAAAACTGACGGCAAAAGCTATTGACATTAGACTGAAAACACAGTCTACAGAATAAGAGAAAATCCTTGCCAGATATACATCTGACAAAAGATTAACAATCAGAATATCCATGGAACTTAAAAATGAAATTCTCAAAGAATCAATAACCTAATTAAGAAATGAGAAAATATCATTCTGTCTGATGGATGCATAGAATTCTATTGTGTATATATACCGCATTTTCTTGATTCATTCATACACTGGGGGCATATGGGTTGTTTCCATACCTTAGCTATGATAAACAATGCTACAATAATGATTGTACTGGTATCTTTAGTGTGGCATTGTTTGTGATCTATTGGAATTGCTAGATCATATCTTCAGTCTTTTGAGAAACCTCCATACTGCTTTCCAGAGTGATTGAACAAGTTTACATTCCCACCAACATTCATAAAGAAATAGAAAAACTTGGGGAAAATTATATTAAGTGAGGCAAGCCAGACCCAAAGAAACATGCTGCATGGTTTCCCTCATGTGTTGTAACTAGAATTTGCCTATAAATCTACAAGTAAGCACAATGAAGGTTTAAAAAATGCTCTGGGGCATGACAAAATATACAGGTCTCTAGACATTCACACAGTGAGATCAAGGGAGAATATGGCATAGAAGCAGATCATGAAGTCTCAATAGCTATGTGCATATGATCATATAATATTTTATGAAATGAGCTCCAAGAAATGGAAACAAGAGATTATTTTTATTGTTGTTGCTGTTTTGGGTGTCTTATCCTTTTGTCTTGTTTGTTAGTTTAGTTGTCTTTGGGAAGCTAAGGTGAGACATAGGAAAGGGTGGACAAAGGGTGAACCGCAGTGGTATTCACTAGAAACTATGTGGAAAATGAACTATACAACTTGTGAGTAGGAGTAAGAGAGAATAACTAGGAGACATTGTTCAAAAAGAAATGTACTCATTACCTGACTTAGGTAACTATAACTCCTCTCTATGTCACCTCTACAATAACAATAAAATATATCTTAAAAAGAAAAGGGAAAACATATTCCCCAAAAGAAAAATCATAAACGCCAAATAAATATTTAAAGAGATGCTCAAATCCCTGGCCATAAAGGAACTACCAATCAAAACAATATTGAGATTCTATCTATAGTTAGAATGGCCATCATATAGAAGACAAACAACAAATGTTGGTAAGAGTATGGGGGAAAAGGAATCCTAACACACTCAAGGTTAATGGAACTGTAAACTAGTACAGAATAGTGTAGATGTTTCTCAAAAAACTAAAAAAGACACACATGGTCTGAGAATATGGCTCAGTGGTAGAGTGCCTGCCGAGTAAGCATGAAGCCCTGAGTTTCATTCCTCAGTACCACATAAACAGAAAACGCTGGAAATGGTGCTGTGGCTCAAGTGGTAGAGTACTAGCCTTGAGCACAGAGAGGTTGAGGGTCAGAGACCAGGCCCTGAGTTCAAGCCCCAGGACTGGCAAAAAAAAAAGAAAGAAAAGAACACATACCTGCACATGCCACACAATGCATATATGTAGGTATAGCACTCACATACCTGTACACATTAAACATACCTATGTGTGATACAACCATACTTACAAATGCACTATACATTATTTTTACACAACCAAGCTCAATGCCTATAAATTCACCACACATGTACCGGCACATACCACATATATTCACACATGTATAATTCACACATGGCTGCTCACCCTCCACATTTATATTTGTATACCCATCTTATATGCCTTCACATACCACATTCATACCACACAGTATACAATTGTACTTATATGAGCATACATTGCTTCATCCACCACACACATACTTGTACATACACCACACATACATGCCAGTTTGCAACACATATGCATATATATAAACACATATGTGTACACAGTACATGTGAATGAATGCCAGCACACCTACCACACATACTGACACATGTCACAGTCATGCATACTCATAAAGGCACCACACATGCATGCCTCCCACACTCCCCACAGACTGCATAAACACTCCCCTGCATAAACACCACAGATATCCACCCATGCATGCCTGCATGTCCCTCCATATGCCTGCGCATGCCTAACATACCTAAATATATACACCATGCACATATATGCATGTTAATACAATTCATGTGAATACACATGTATATATCTATATATACCACACACAACACACACCCATACCTGTACTACATTCCTTTACATGTCAATCGTATTCTTGCCTATGCACAAGTTATAGATCTATATGCCTGTAGACACACAACATGTTTTGTCTACACATACTGTATACTCACACACCCATATATACACACATCACACTGCAGGCACATACCACAAGTGTGTTACCAGCACCACACATACATGCATAGCTGTACATATGCCACATATACATGTACCAGTCACAGGGATACGATCATGCTTACATCCATGCATAGTCTCTTACACATTTGCATGTATACATGTACATTAAGCACCATTCATGGGGCTCATGTACACAAACTT